GTCTCAACACACATTTTGAAGTAACTCAACCGAGAAGGTGAGGACCTCACAAACTTGACCGCATTATGGATTGCCACAATTGAGCTTTCTAATCTTTTCAAACCCTCATTAACTATCAAGTTAATTTTATGAGCACTACACCTCATATGCATGTGAACTCCTCTTAACACACTATTTGAATCTTTCCACCTATTTATTTTCTTCCTCACATAATCAATTGCCTTAGTATTGGCAGCTGCATTATCTGCGGTAATTGTGAGTATCTTCTCATGTCCCCAATCAATCAAGCAATTTTCAAGCAATTTCCCAATGCTCTCCCACTTATGACTATCAATTACACAAAAATTTAAGATCCTTTTGTGTATTTTATAGTCGGAATCCACAAAGTGGGCAGTCAACACCATGTAATTAACATTTTGAACCGATGTCCAAGTATCGGTTGTAAGACATATTCTATGTGAATGAAGATCAACTTTCAACTTCTCCTTCATTTTTGTGTACATTTCTAGAAATCTTCTTCCAAGAGTTCTACGAGATGGCGGATTAAATTGTGGGCATGCAACACTACAAAATTCCCTAAACCCTTCACCCTCCACAAAGCTAAAAGGTAGCTCATCTCGAACCACCATCCTAATACAAGCATCCAAACAATCATCTTTGTTAAACTTCCTAGAAACAAGAGCATTACCCTTGGATGCATCAAATGCGAGCGTCCGTGTGCTCTTATCCTTGTGCCTATAAGGATATTGTAAGCATTGTTTGTTTATATGCTTCCACATGTTCCTAGTACCATTTTTCTTGGTATCACTAGCATAAGTAACACTACAATACTTGCACTTAGCCCTTTTTTCAATTTCCTTTCTTTTAGTCCCATCTACCCCTTTCAAATCCAATACCAACTCATACTTTTCAAAGTGTTCCCACACATCACTCTCCTTCTTACAAGGTTTCCTTTTCCCGGTACTAGGTTCTAATGGTGATGGTGTTGGATTTTGTGATGCTGCTGTAGGAGGTACAACAGCATCACTACAAGGTAGAGAATCATCATTCCCATGCATTTGAGCCTCATTAGAAGCAGGTTCCTATTCATAAACAGAGTAAAACCATATTTAAACATAGCCAAACAAAGTTTAACTACCCATAAACATATTAAAAGATATATCCGATTGAAAAAAAAACAGATTTAAACTGTCAAAACTGATTTAAACTATGCATACAACTCCCGAAACATATATCCTATCCAACAATCAGACTACAAAAACATATTACAAATTACATAATACAAAAACAGATTACAAAAACAGACTACAAAAACATATTACAAAAACAGAGTATAAAACCAGATTACAAAAACAGATTATAAAACAGATTACAAAAACAGATTTAAACATATTACAAACACAGATTTAAACAGATTGCAAAAACAGATTTAAATAGATTATCAGCAGCAGCGAATATGTACCTCCATTTAAGCAAAATTTTCCAAACTTTCAACGCTCAGCAGCAGCAACGACGCTAAACAACTGTGAATGAAATCAAAAAAAGGGTTAGGTTACAAACAAGCTTCATTCCTTTCAATGCCTCCAAACCAAATAACCTTAAATACCCATTGCTCTAAAAAAAGTCCTAAAATTAAAACCAATATATGAACTGCATGCCTTAATCTTTAATATGTAACTAACCATAATTCGTTCAAAAAAATTGAAGTATCAAGCATGAACAATGTCAGATTGCAAATAAAAAGACAATACAAAGCTAGAGCAATTTAGCCCTGCTTTATTAGCTTCAAGCATGTTTTTCATCATTAAGAATAAGATATCATTATTATGCAAGTTTCCACTTAACAATTATGTAATTAGTTTACATGATTAATAAAAATATTTTGGGAAAAAAAACCTACTATTTCGCAAGGTCTCTGATTAATTATCAGACTGCATTTTATAGTCACATCCCGTACATTAGACTAATTAGAATTTTCGTTTATAAAAATTAAAAATCTACCAAAATCAGTTTACTGTAAAACTATATGTCTCTGTTTGGTTGCTGTCAATTAATTGCGAAACCTTAAGGGATTCATCAGAGAGACTCATTTTTCTTTGGTCAACATAAGTCAGACTTTTAGTTGGAGATTCTTTTTCCTTCCAATAACCATTACTTGCAGCCCTAATTTGTATAATGCATGATACTTACAGTTCATAATTTCTTTGTCAATTTCAAATAATCATCAAAACACAGCATAACCTACTAATTGGTGGCAGCCCTAATTCGACAACCCTAAAGGCTAAAACCTTAACAGAAAAAATATATCATCACATTAACCTCAACCACCAAATCGACAAGCCTAATTTAACAGAAAAAAAACCATAAATTCAATTTACAATAAACCCTAAATTCAAAGGAAGATGATGCTCTCACCTCTTTGACTGATGAAAGAGAAACCCACAGACGAAATCGCAGGAGAGGAATAGATGTCGTCGGTGATCAGAAACTGAGACTGAGAGAAAATAGAAAAATCGAGATAAGAAGAGAGAGCAAAGAGAGAGTTCGCGGAGCAAAGACGTGACGGAAAAAAAATCGAACATATAAGAGAAGAGAAGCTGACCTGCATGGAGGGATGGAGGCGGCACGGTGGCTGATCGACTGAGAGTGAGAGGATCGAACTAGAGACGGTTGAGAGAGAGAGGCGCCGCGTCGTCACAGCCTCTTAGGTCAAAAAAACGAAATGAAAAATTGAAGAGAGGATGAGAAGAAGTCTGAGAGAAAGAGAAGAGAGAGAGTCACGTGTGACTCACACGGGGACTGAAGGGAGATTTTAAAAAATCGTGAGGGATCTGCTGCAAGCAGTCTCACAGTAATAATTTTTTGGGCCAATCATACAACGCCACGTGTAATAATTATATATATTAAAATAGTGCCGGTTCGGTTCAGGTTCTGCGGTTCTATAAAAATTAGACCCGAAGGCTGAACCGTTAACCTTCGGTTCGGTTCAGGTCCGTTGTTGACTTTTTCGGTTTGGTCAAAAAATACTCTTTTTCGGTTTGGTTTGGTTTGGTTCGGTCGGTTTGATCGGTTTATCGGTTTTTATGCCCACCCCTAATTTTGATTATAACGTCTTTGTGAAGTACTCGAGCTTCCTCTTTTGTTTTGAACTTGGAGATGTAAACGGAAAGGTTAATTTTGAGGGTGACGCTGTTTTATGTCCAACATGTATGTCTCTTAAAAAAATTAGGACTGTATAAAAGGCTCATTCCACCTTTCTCGAAGAACAAATCAAGCAACATGTACGCTAAAATGAAGATAAGACTATGGTATGATGGGATTGTTGTGATTAATTGTCAAAATTGAGATATTGAGTAGCACAATGTACTTGAACGGTTGGACATCACATTAAGTTACCTTTGTGAACACTTATTAAATAATATTCATCATTCTATTTGAAAAGAGCTTCAAAGTTGGCCAAATTCCTGGTTTGTAGCGATTTTGATGTTGGACTAAATGCTCAATCACAAAGTCACATCTTTTATGTTCCGACTCTTTCTAGCTAATGAAAAGTTGCACTTAACCAAAACTTGAAATATGAGATCAAGTACATGACTTGTTATACCTTAACGGTATCAATGTGCTTCTTGACAACACACTTGATAAGGAGTTAAGACTCATGTAGAGAAATAATATATAGTAAATATGCATGAACAATTAATATGATTATGGCTACTACATTAATTTTGTTTGCAAGTACATTTTTTTTGCCTACTACATTAAGGGTTGCAGGGGATTTTGAATATTGTTAGGTCATAAATGATGTTGGAGTTTGCCATAACAATTTAAGAAATCAGAACATTTCTATCATGCGTAGAAAATCGGTAAATCTGATAAATATTAGTGGCGGAGAGAGGTTTGTATGGTTGGATGAAGATTGGCGAAATGTTGATTTATTTGGTGTTAGAGATTTTTTAGATGACACATTATCTCGTCACATCACTGGTTACCGCTTC